TATAAAAGTAGTACTGTTTTAATGTAAGTGTACATAGTACAAATAGTAGTACAATATAAATATCAGTAATCAAGATTGAAACCTAAAATGAGCTATGCACAAAATAATTCTAGTCTTTTGTCTTCTGAAAAGAAATACAATTCATGAATTTTGTGTTTATGAATAAAGTTTTTTTTTAACAAGGAAAAAAAAAAGTAGATACGCCAGGCAGAGAGATAAATGAACTGTTTGCATAAACACAAATTAAGAGTCACACTCCAGGAAGAATTGCTCCTTGGTGAGGATAGCAGACATCTGGAAGGACTTAGAGGGGGGAGAGATTGGTGCAGGAGTGTGTGCAGGGAAACTTGGTGACTGCTGGAAGGAGCTAATGCACTCTGAGTGTGTACAGGACCCAGAGGAGGGAGGCTGGGCTCCCTGAGCAGCACAGCATGGTGCCTGGCGGATATGAACCTCTCCAGTACTGTCCTGACTAACCCAGGCCCCACAGCCCTTGACATTGCTCCTACCAGCTAACGCATCCTTTGAAAGGCCGCTTCTAAACCGCAGTTATAACCAGGTACCAGCTTGTGTCTGTGAAGTACACCACACACAAACTGTACAAGTGCAGCACTGCGTGGAAATTGCGGCACTGAAAAATCTATAATGTAAGTAAATTAGGATAATTTGGAGAAATTGGCTGGGATTTTATAAGAATCATAAAATGGCCACGCCTTTTGAATAACTCTGGCCAACTTCTGGGAATTCACTGAAAATTTTACAGAAAATTTTTCAAGAAAACGGAAACATTACTGTATTTATTTACCATGAGTGAAAGAAAAAAGATTCCATGGAAATCAAATGGGTAAATTACAGTATGTCCCCTTGTGGGACTCATATGTAGTCATCCAAATTACGGAAGACAGGGTGTAGGATGGGAAAATAAATGCTTGGGAAGTGGTTATAATATTAGGTGGAGAAAACCCCAGACTTCAAATCGTAAAGACTGGTGTGCACACGGATGGAGCTAGAGAAAGAAGACAGGAAGAGACCCAGAGTGCCCTGCGCAAGTCGTGGGGTGCAGGGAGGCTCCGCCTTGCTTTCCTTTGGTTCCTGTTCATACTGGTTCTGCGGTGAGCACCCAGGAAGGACGCACAGGGGCTCCCCGGGAAGGGCAGCTGTTGGGCAGCTGTGCCCGTGTGGACATAGTTTCAGTGCGGGCTCCTGGACAGGGAGAAGGGACGGAGGCTGGCAGGTGTGGATGAGCAGTGCCTGAGGCATCCAGGGCAGGGGACCGTGTAGGTAGCACAGGGCACCCAGAAGAGGGCCAGGCGGAGACAGGGAGGGAGGCGGCTGGCTGCCCTTGCTCCCTGGCCTCTAGGCAAGCATGGCCTCAACCCAGCCCCGTGCTCCCTGCGCTCCTCAGTCACTCCCAGTCCCAAACCAGAGCGGGCACAGCCACAGCTCAGTGTCGGTCTCCCTGCTGACTAACTGCGCTGTGTCTCTGAGCTCCAGAGACTGAAGGGAGAATGTGGGCCTTCCTGTTCCTCACAAGCCAGGCCTCCCAGCTGTCAGCCAGTGCGGGTGGAAGACGGACCACAGCCTGGTGTGGGGCTCCAGGCCTGGCCTCTGCGGACCTGTTCAGTGGGAGTTCCCACCGTGCTGGGCTGGGCTGGGGCCTCAGGTCCTTTTCCCTGGCAGCTCTCCGTGTGTTGGCCCCTCTGTAGTCAGTGGTGCTGTGCTGGGGCCCCTGGGACAGCAGCGACCATTGTTAGCGGCTCAGCTCACCCTGCTGGCCTTAGTTACTCAACTGTAGAGTGAGGGAGACATCAGAGCTCACCAGAGGCTGTGCAGCCCCAACCTAGAGGCTGACTCTAGGGCTGGATGAAGCTGCACAGGGCTGGATGGGGTCCTCTCACTGGACATTCCTGCCCAGCAGAAGGAGCTGGTCCTTCTTTTGTATTCTGTTCAGTCTTTGCATACCTTGGAAAACCACCTTCAAGGGGATGTTGTCCAACTAAAGCGTGTATAAAAGAGATCAGCTATGGTGCACAAAGGCTAGCTCTCATTTCAAGAAAATAAAGGAAATAACTGCAGAGTTTATATAAGTATTTGTATTAAAATGCTTAGTTGTGATCTCTCTCTCTCTCTCTCTCTCTCTCTCTCTCTCTCCCCCTCTCCTGGGATTGAACTCAGGGCCTTGCCCATGCTTAGTCTGAGCTACATCCCCAGCCCAGAACTGCAGACTTTAAACAAGAAAGGATAGCGCACAGCAAGGGCAGGTCTTTGAAATGCTACAAGTCCATCTTGTGGGAAGAACAGTGTCCTCTTGCTCTCTATTTCCCCGAAGGGCAGGTCAGTGGTGGAAAGGCAAGGAAGCGCATTTGGGATCTGAGCAAGCAGAATGCAGACTATTCCAGCATCCGAGCTAACTGAATGCAGTGTTAGCATAGGGGGTAACCCTTAGAGGTGCAGCCTTTCTGGCTTAAGGTCTTGCCCCCCCCCCAGCTCTGGACTCCTCTGAACCTTTCTGAAGTGGCCTATCGCCCACAGGGTGGGCATGGCAATGCTGTCCTTCCAGAAGCATCGCTGCGTAACTGTCGTCACAGATTTTCATGTGACCCCTAATCTCTCCATATTCTTTTCCCCATCCCAACATGAAGTTTTGGAAGAGAACTTATCTGATCCAAATTGTTTCATGGTTTGGACAAGCTGTGTAACCAAATTCTAGGGTTCCAAGATTTCCAAGGCAGAACTCCCACTGTGCCTCACCTTCTTTCTCTTTCTACTCTGTCTCTCCCAAGCTACCCAGTTTCAACTTTCTGGTGTGCAGAGCAGAGCTGGGGAACATGCAGCCCCAGACAGCCTCGCCCCAGGGCATGTAGTGTACCCTGGGGTCTGCATGGTCCCTGAACCCCAGCTATGTGGGATGCTAGAGTCTAGCATTTAGCTCCCTCATCTTAAGATTGTGAAACAGCTGTTTGTAACCAAGAGAAGGGAGCCTCTCCAAGAGGAAAGGGTGGGGAGTCTCTGGGATGGCTCGTTTTTCTGAAGATTAAAGTCAAGGAACTAGAAGTGTGGGGGGATGCAGAGAAGAGTAGGGAGTGATCTAAAGCCATTTTTTACCTGCCCACGAGGGCCCAGCGAGAGGCCCTCACTGCAGCAGGAGGAATGGGACCGTGGACCTGGAATGCTATAAAACGAACCCTGTGTGTGGCCTTGAGCCTAGCTGGCCTGGCTGCCTGGATGCTGTTCCTGTAGATTACTCTGGAGCAGACTTGGAGCAAAACCCAGCTCTGGAGCAGGCCCTCTGGGTGCCGACCACTTGCTGTGCTGCCTTGGGCAACTCAAGCAGGTCTGACTGTAAACAAGGATAATACCATTGCTGGCTTGGTCCACTTGTGCTGCTGTAATGAAATGCCCGAGACTGCATTACTTCTAAACAACAGCAGATCAGGAGGTAGGAAGACCAGGGTCAAGGTGCCAAGAGAGGCAGGGTTTGGTGCAGGCCTGTGTCTCATTGAGGATGTGTCCTGGGTGTCCTTGTGTGACAGGAAGGGTAAGCAGCTCCCTGGCACTTCTGACAGAGGGGTGACCTCACTCCTGAGGGCTCTGCCCCGTGGCTCACCGTGACCATTCGTCTGACAATTAGCTCCCACTAATGGAGTTGGGGAGCAGGACATCCATACCACAGTGGGTAATGACCTCCTAAGGTCAGCAGATTGTAGCACCGCGTATCGTAAGTGGAGCTCCAGAAACCTGCTCGTACTCAGGCACTTTGCGATGTACAATATACAGCGTTTCTGGGCTATTGAGATAGCTCAGTGGTCTAAAACGCCTGCTTAGGCAAGCTTAGGCAGGCACAGGGCACCACGGTTCAATCCCCGGCTCCACATGCTGTGCCAACCTTGCCTCAGGGTGGGCTGACTGGGCCAAAACAAACAAAACAAAACAAAACAAAACATTTCTTAAGGGCCAGACTGGCAGAAAACGCTTAGATCAAGACCAGGTGCACAGCAAGTGAGGTTTAGCTCACTACTATTATGGAGTACTGGACTAGATTGGATTGTTTTGCTGAATTTGTGCACCTACAATATTTAAATGGCAATGGAATACCCATCTCTGACAAAACTAAACAAAAAAGGGGGTAAAATGAAGGACCATTTTGTATCTATATATACAAAATAGGATAGATATAATAGCTACATTCTCTTAATTCAAGGAATAGAAAGATTTGTTGTGTGTTTTTAGACAGGGTATCATGTCTGCATCTTGTACTATGAATAACTACTACGAAGACAACAATATGCAATGTATTAATTATTATAACTGTCCTACTCACCTGTTTTGAAACTGTTTCATTGCTATATGTTTCTCAATAAAATTAATAAAAAATAAAATAAAAGCTCAGGTGCACAGCCTGGTAGCATACATCTGTAATCCAGCACTCTGCAGGCTGAGGTGGGAGGCTCGCCATGAGTTCAAGGACAGCCTGCACTACACAGTGGGACCCTGTCGAAAAAGAAAAAAGAAAAAGACTTCAGTGTCTCCAGAGTGTTATGTGAAATCAGTCAGATAGAAGGTTAAAGATCCAATGGTTTCCCTTAGATGAGAAAGCCAACTTATAAACAGTTTGAAAAGCAAAATAAAAACGGCAGAAGACAGGGAGATAGACTGTGGAGAAGGGAGGGGATTGGCAGACGGGGAGACTGTCGGCTCGTAGAGACGGTCAAGATGCCTCATATAGCTTTGTATCAACCCTTCTAAGATGAATATAATTATTACGCACAGCAAAACACACTAAAAATAAGTCGCAGAAGTCTCATACCAGTCTCTACAGATGGGACACCTGGCCAGGGGCTGGCTCTATTAGGCAGACAGGCTTGGGACTTAGCAAGTGCCTGGGATCTATGAAGTCCCCCCCCCCCCCCCCGCCACACGTCCCAACTCTGCTCACCCTGTCTACCTGGACCTCCCTCCCCAGCGATGCTCACGTGTCCCCTCCCTCTGCTCCTCCACAGTGTCCAGACCCCGAAGCTCCCCGGATGACCTAAAGGTCCTGACTCGGAATGTGAACCGGCTCAACGAGAGCTTCCGGGACTTGCAACTGCGGCTGCTACAGGCTCCGCTGCAGGCCGACCTGACCGAGCAGGTGTGGAAAGTGCAGGATGCGCTGCAGAACCAGTCGGACTCGCTGCTGGCGCTGGTAAGCGCGGTGCAGCGGCTGGAGGGCGCGCTGTGGGGGCTGCAGGAGCAGGCCACGCAGACCGAGCAGGCGGTGGCCCTGCTGCGTGACCGCACCGGCCAGCAGAGCGACGCGGCGCAGCTGGAGATCTACCAGCTGCAGGTGGAGAGCAACCGCAGCCAGCTGCTGCTGGGGCGCCACGCGGGCCTGCTGGACGGGCTGGCACGCAGGGTGGGCGTCCTGGGCGAGGAGCTGGCCGACGTGGGCGGCTCGCTGCGGGGCCTCAACCACAGCCTGTCCTACGACGTGGCGCTGCAACGCACGCGGCTGCAGGACCTGCAGGTGTTGGTGAGCAACGCTAGCGAGGATACGCGCCGCCTGCGGCTGGTGCACCTGGGCATGGAGCTGCAGCTGAAGCAGGAGCTGGCCACGCTCAACACGGTCACCGAGGACCTGCGCCTCAAAGACTGGGAGCACTCCATCGCGCTGCGGAACATCTCCCTCGCCAAAGGTACGCTGCCCCAGTCCCCAAAAACTCTGTGCTTGGGTCTTCTGCCTACACCTCCCCAGCTCCCACCCAATGCCCCAGAAGTCTTCTCGACTTCTCCTAGTACTCCTGTCCCTCTGAACCCATACCTCATCTTTTACTTCTTATCCCACGGAACTCAGATTTTCTGCCTATGTGATCCATAATCACTTCCAGGGCCTGTCCAGATCTCTCTCCTGTGTAAACCTCAGTAGGGAAGAGAGTAGAACCAAGAGAATGGTAAGCAGGGCATGGTGACGCACACCTGTCATCCCTGCACCTGGGAGGCTGAGGCAGGAGGTTTGCCACATGTTAGAGGCTAACCTGGGCTACATAAAAACCCTTGGAGTAGGGAACGTAAGTGTGTGGGAATCAGAGCTGTTGGAGGGGGGGAGAGCTTGAGGCAGGGATAGCGAGGCTGCTCAGGATGAGGCTGCAGGGGGAGAGGACAGTGGCTCCTTGGGTTTCCTGTGCTATGATGGCAGAGTCCCAAGAAGTGGAGAACCCCCAATTTGAACTCGGTGTTCAGGGCTGTTCGGAAGATGTATTCATCCTATGTCGAAGAATATATTTCATCTCACAGTGTGTTCATTTCACAGTAGGTCTGAAGTATCATGTGGAAACTGCAGGTCCCTGGTGTGCTTCTGTTTTGGGGCCGGGAGGGGAGGCCCTTGGTTCCCTTTGTTCCTTTTTGGCCAGTTGCCCTTCCTGTCCTTCCTTCCCCCATCCTTCCCACTGCTATGACGGCCAGGGCTCCTTCACACAGTGCGCTGTCACCGCATCACCTCCTGTCAGACCTCGCTGCTGCTCCCCAAGGGCTCTGTACTCTGCTTAGCCTGACAACACCACTGCACAAGCCCTAGGTAGGGTGGGTACTGCTCCAAGGGTGCCTCACAGGGCCTCCTTCTCAGGAATGCCCTCTCCCAGGAAGTACCCCTGTTCCCCCTGTACTGCCCAGGGCACGAGGTCTAGGAAGCTTAAACAGCTTAAAAATCTTTAAAATATACACATATGTATGCACGCATGCACACACATACATGCATGCACACACATGCATGCACACCTATGCACATACATATGCTCACAGACATAATTCACATACACATACCGTACTCTTTTCTTTGACCCTTTCCTGGATCAGATCTACAAATACTTGACTATGTGTATTTTTCAAATAACAGTATATTTACATTATTCTTAGCTTAGCCCAAATGGTTTTCATTCTCTTGTTCTGTTATGCCATTTTTTATGCATTTCATCTCCAGTTTGTCTTCTGTGGACACTCAAAGTGGGACTTTCTGTTTTCTGCTTTGGATTTTCAGCATCAGCCACATCTGCTGAAATCTGTGTGTGGGTTTCAAAGGAGCACTTAGATTATCAGAGAATGGAGGCAACAGTTAGGGAGGGAGAGCCAGAGAGAGAGAAGGGAGGCCTACCGGGGAGGGAGGGCAGCTCCGCTCGTATGCTGATGGCCCTCTGCTAGTGTATGAGGCCCTAAAATCACGGGACTCTAGCATGGGAGCAGCTCTCTCGACAGCATCCTGTCCAGTTCTCTTCTTTTGCAGTTGAAGACGATGCTTAGATGCTGGTCCTCAGGTGGCCAGGACCATGCTGGAGCAGTGTGGCCTGGGCTGGGCTGATGAACTGGCCCCGAGATGGGACTGAGCAAGTCGCATGCACCAAGCTGTATCTGTGGTTGCTCTTTAGAGAGTGAAACACCATCTGTGGTAGTAGGCTGGGAAGTTAGTGGAGCCAGGGATCCAGGTCGAGTGGGGGCGGATCCCAGATGCTGAGGCTGGGCTCTGGCTGTAGTCACCAGGGAACCCTTGTGTGGAAGGTGTTGGGTGTCTCTGTGAATGAGGGACGAGTGGAATAGTGCTTCTCTTCTGCAAAGGATTGGGACATGTTGCCCAGCGGAGGTCCCGGGGTAGGTTGTACAGCCCTCTGTGCTCTCATTTTCCACATCTGACCATGCTACAAAGTGGGCAAAAGGTGCACTGTGGAAATGAGCAGGCACATCTAGCCTGCCCCCACCACTTTGCCCTTGAGGCTCAGAGGATCAAGGCCAGGGCTTCACCTCATCTTTTAGGGCTAGGTCTTCCAGGCTGCAAAATGAGACTGATAGGGCTACCCTACCCACTTCCCAAGGGTGTAGGGAGAAGCCCTGAGGGATAGCATGAGCAAGTTCTCAGACTGTACCGGGGGAGCTGCCAAGATCCAGGGCTCTGTGACTTCAGGGAACTGGGGGCAGAGCAGCCAGTGGAAGGACTCCACCCTCGGTCAGGTGGGGTTAGTGTAGCTGGGGTAGTGTCTAGGGTCTGATGTGAGTCAGTGAACTGCTGCTCTTGGGCCCGAATCATCAGATGTCCCCATCACTTGTTCTGAGAAGGTCACCCCCTGCTTCCAGCACACACAGCTCCTCCCACCCCACGCCTTGCCCTAGGACTTGGAAAGGAAGCAGGAGTCGCATCTCCCCATGTTAGTGGGTCACCATGACAATGCTGGCACTTTTCCCAGATGTTCAACTGCTAGTCCTCCTCTGGGCAGAAGATGCATCCACGTGGCATTTCACAGAGCAAGACTTCCCTGGAGACAGTGTGGCCTACACTGGCAGACTGGCCCTGAGATGGGACCCTAGCACCTTGTTCCTCCTTATCCAGCCACCTCCTTACCCTGTCCTTCTTGGCTGATGGCAAAGATGAGACATGTGACAGTGTAGAGAGAGGAGAAGGACCCCTCACACAGGTGCCATGAGGGGCAGCTCATCACATAACTGCCATAGTCACCCTGCTAATCACCACAGAGCGCCAGGCCTGTGCCAGCCATGGGGTCACAGAGAGGGACCTCGTCCCGCAGGCAAGCCTGTCCTTCCTGGGGACTGCAGTCTGAGGTGGATGATAGCATCCAGCCAGCAGGGTAGGAACAGCCTGGCCAGGCTCACGGCACTCCAGCCAGAGCATTGCACAACTGCCCGAGCTGGGGCCGTGATTGTGGGGCCCAAGCAGAGCAGAAAGCTGAGCAGGAATGCAGTTCCTAGGCTTGGAGGGACTGGGCTCTTAGAAGGGAAACGGTTTGACCAGTGCTGGGGAACCCAGGAGAAAGTTTTTTTCCCAAGAGAGAGAAGGGTCCACAGCACCACATTGAAAGTGTGGTGGAAGCTCAGGCTGGAAATGACCTGTGGCATCTCCCATGGGGACGGAGGTCACCATGCTAGGGGACTGCACCATGCTGGGCTTGTCTGAGGTCTCTGCAGTCACTTGGTTGTTTCCCTGTTTGGAGAGATTAATCTGACTGCAGTATACACAGTGGGTTGGAAAGAAAGACCAGTGACAAGGGAGACAGAAGCAGGACCACAAGGTTCCAGCAAGCATAGTGGCTCTCAGAAACATGGTGGGCAGGAGGTGACCCTCCTCTAGGGCAAGCCTTTGTGACAGGCTGTGTGTGGCAACTGAGGGGAATGGAGGAGAGAAGAATCAAGCAGACTGCAGGTTGCTGGCCTGGGTTCCTGAGAGCACGACAGTCCCTAAACACATTAGGGCTGAGAATGCAGCCAAGCGCAGCAACAGGGACCTGAACAGGGACCTATCCTTGGGCACCAGGTGGCCCGGCCCCACAAAGCTCTTGCCCCCTGCAGGCTCTTGTGAGTCATGCAGGCTAGTCTGCCCTGAGGCTTGGGTGGCCACCCACCTGCACTGTTGGTTCCAACCTCTGCCTACCACTCTCTTCTGAGGACTCTCCAGCACTAGCCACTTACTTGGGTTTAAAAAAGCACCCATGTAGAATGCTTCTAGACCTGTGGGTCCAGGGTGGTTTGGGGTGCACCCTAGAACAGTCCCAACAGTAATCTGGTCGTAATTCTGATGAAGCATATGGAAAGTAGGGTGCAGGTGGTCAGAGACGCACTCCCTCCCAAGACAGGAAGCCCTTCCATATCCATCAAGTCATTGAACTGAGTCTTTTCACTTCACAACTCCATGGAAAAGGATTATTCCCCCTGTAAATAGGACCAGAGGCCTGAATCCAAGTGCAATGTGTCCCCATTCAGCTCTCACCTTCCAAATTCTCTTCATGCCCTGTTAGCCAGATTGGGATGGTTCCACTGGGCAGCACCTCCCTCTACCAGGACCAGTCTCAGGGAGATCCAGGCCCTGAGACCTGTGTTAGTCAGCTTTTCATCATTATGACAAAACATCCCAGATAACTGGCTTGTAAAGAGGAGAGGTTTATTGTGGTTCATGGTTTTGGAGGGTCCAGTACATGGTTAGTTGACCACACCACGGTGAGCCCACGATAAACAGAACATCATGGCAAGAGGGAGCCATTCGCCTCAAGGCAGCCAAGAAACAGAGCCAGAGACCACAGTCCCAGCATCCCCTTCAGGGGCACACGCCCAGTGAACCTAGCTTCCTCCAGCAAGGCTGCCACCGCACAGTGATAGCTTGGATGGCGACCAGGGCTTTGGGAACACTTCAGCTGCGGACGCACCTGCCTCAGTGTGAAGTATACGACCCACGCAATCCATGATCAGCTCAATTCCTTTCACCCAGAGTTCTCTGTGGGAAGGGTGGAAGGCAGAGCAAAGTGAGAGGGGCTGGCATTATGGGGTCCAGGTCCAGCGATAGAGACCCAGGCACCCTCTCTGGATTTCCTTTGCTGCTGCCTGACCCAGAGCGGAGATCACCAGAGAGGAATGTGGAGTTTGTTTGCATCTTAACTCTGCCTTTCATTGGCATTTCAAACTTCGGCCTGTTCCAAATAGGGTCTGCTTCTTAATCCTGTGTTCTAGAAACTGGGATCAGTGCGGCAGCCGTCCTTTGCTTTTTTTTTTCACAGAAAAGAGGATAATGGCCATAAACCCAGCCTTCCTTAAATATTTTATGTAACTCATGAATTTTTTTTTTGTTAAGAAAACATGATTACTTTTCCCCTGTGCATGTGCCATCAAACATCTGTCAGCTTTGCTTAGGGTCTGAGCATGGTGCCAGCTTTTGGAATGTATCAGTACATCTCGATCTTGGCGGCCTGATTGTTTTGTATGTATCAACATTCTCTGATCTCACACACTCATTTATTCATCAATTATTTATTGTGCAAGACCTTACCACGACGCTGTGAGTAGACATGTTTTGGTTTCCTAGCGATGTTCTAGCAAAGCATGATGAACTGGGTTGCATACAATAATAGAGGTTTATACTCTTTCAGTTCTGGAGGCTGCAAGCCTGAAATCAAGGCGTCCATGCGTCACTGCCCTGCAGAAAGCTCTGTGAAGCCTGGCTTCCTCTCGGCTGCTGGGGGCTGCTGGCAGTGCTTGATTCCTTGGCTTGCAGTCGCTTTGCTCCAGTCTCTGCCTCAGTGGTCACATGGTGTTCTCCTTGAATCTCTGTTTTATTTTCTTACGAGGACACCAGTCACTGGATTAGGCCCCACCCCACGCCACTGTGACTGCAGCCTGGCTAATTTTATCTGCAAAGGCCCCATATCCTGATAAGATTGAGGCGGCTCCCGGTCAATGTGAATGGAGTGGGAACCGTTCAACCCAGTGGTTTCTCTCACAGAGCAGCAGGAGAGAGGCTGTCAAGCTGGGGTATAAAGGATATAGTCTTGCCTCTGGGAGCTAGTCCTTGCCAGGGCTAAGAGGTCACATCTACTGTCGCTGAAGGATGGGGCCTGTCGCAGCTTCCCAAGTCTACATAATGGATCATGTTCACTTCAGTAGGACTGATGGGTCAGAACAGCTGTCACCAAGATGAGCAGCTTGGAATGGCAAGTAGCTGAAGGTTCTAGAAAAGGTGTGCCAGATAGACTTGGGCTGAAACCATAGCTCCTTCACTCACTTGCTGGCTGTGTGGCCCAAAACAAATAAATCCCACACACAGCACAGTCATAGAGACCAAGTCCTGTCACACCCTGAAAGGCAGCCTGACTCAGGAGCAGGTAGACACTGCAGAGGTCTGGGAGTGTGCCCACCGCCTCCTGCTGGCTTTCACCCATGGGAACCAAAGGCTCTTCTGTCCCTGATGTCCCCTCACAGCCATTTCCTTTGCCAGGGGCTCCATCCCCTTCCGCCTGGACAGACTGCAGCCCTGCCCCCTCCTGCTTTGATCCACTTCCCATGGTGCAGCCTCATGGGGATCATGTGGGGCTCTTGTCTCGGCCCCTCCTGTGAGGCACTTAAGTGACACATCCAAGAGCCACCCGTCCCCACCCCACAGTGCCTTCTTCCACTAGCAGCTGCCTTTCCTATGGGGGTTTCCATAGCTGTGTCTTGGGGAAGTTCTCCCCTGCCCGGACTCTCTTTCACCCTGGCCTAGTCACCACTGGTGCCATAACAAAGCGCCACACACCCAGGCACAAACCACAGATGTTTGCTTGTGGTCTGGAGGCTGGAAGTCTGGGTTCAAGAAAAGGCTGCCTTCCTTGCTTGCAGGCAGCCGGGCTCTCACTGTGTGTGTGTGTGTGTGTGTGTGTGTGTGTGTGTGTGTGTGTGTGTGTGTGTTAGTGCACAAGCTTTCTGGTGCCTCTGGTGAAGCCACTAATCCCACCAGTAGGTCCCCACTCTCATGACCTCCTCTAACCCTAATTCCCTCCCCCAGCCCCATCTCCTGTCCCACTGGGAAGGACTTCAGCACATGGACTTGGGGGGCACAGGTGCATGGTTTATAACACACTCCACCACTCCTAAGCAGTTCTGGTTTCTCCTTGAGGTTTCCATTGCCAGTGATTTTCTCCAGGGAGTTTTCCTGAATGTTCTCGAGACCGAGCTAGGCACCACTGACATCCTACAGTTTTCAAAGCATCACCACTTGGACCCTTCCTCTCATCAAACAGGAAGCTTTTTGCTTCCTCAGCAGCTGTCCAGGTGGGATCCAGAAAACAGCTCTCTAACCTTGATGCTGGTTTCACCCTCCAGGGCCACCAGGACCCAAAGGTGATCCAGGGGAGGAAGGCAAGGAAGGCAAGACTGGCATCCCTGGCCTACCTGGAGCCCGAGGTAATGCATAAATGACATCTTCCCTGTCTATTCTACGGTGTACACGTCAGCCCTACAGACCCAGAGGCTGGCAGGAAGGGCACTTTGGAACCTTCTAGAAAGGCTGTGCTGTTCTTAGACTCAGGTATCCCAGAAGCTCCTGCTTGGTTACTATGTCGAACTTCACAGCTGAGCCCACCACTTCTTGGGCCTGTGCCACCCAAAACATTCCATAGATTTCAGTCAGAATGGGGGACAAGGGGAACCTTGTGGGAGAAGTGTCTGGGGGGGTATTTTAGGACCCACATTGCCTAAATCTCTAATCTCCTCTGAAGGACGGAGAGCCCCAGCCCAGCCTTTACCTAAGCCCTGTCTCAGAGGAGCTCTGAAGACTCAGTTAAGGGTGCCTCATACCTACTTTTCTGCCTAATGGGGAACTATGGGCACATCCTGTGTTAGAATCAAACTTCTGTGGCCACAGGACCACGGGGCTCTAGGACTGCTTACCTTCCATTAGGAAGGGAGGAAAATTCCTGGACATTTCCAAGGTCCTGCCACCCCCGCATGCTCCTCTTTCTGGCCCTGGGACTCAGCGCTGGTAAATAGTTATGATCAGGACAGTTTCTCAGGTCCCCTGAAAAGAAGCCCAAAGAAGGCCAGCTAGCTTTCCAAGCAGGAGAAAACAGTCTGTCAGTCAATAAAGGGAGGTCTGCCTCACAGAGATAAGTGTGGGCTGAGGCCAGGCCTCCAGGGACCCTGGATTCTGGCTTGGCAAAAGTGTTTGTTGGTCCTGGCTCTCCACGGTGCAGTCAGCCCTGGCCATGGCCATTGGCCTTGTGGCTGGGAGCCTGGGGCCTGATCAGGCAGCAGGCCACACATCCATGTATTAATTTGTGGTTTCCCCGTCCTTCTGAACCTCCAGCCCCCTTTGCCTACTTCCTGAATTTACAGGAAGGAGGTGATCATTTTATTCTTTCTTTACACAGAATGGAGCATTATTTAATTTTCCTCCTGTTCTCTAACAGCCATCCCCACCCTCCCTAAGGCCTAGTAGGCCCCTTTGACCCCTCAGGAGGTGAGGCAGACCAAGAGCTCTCCTCAGGAAGCTCAGATCCTATCTCCAGTACTCTTTGCTGTGTGCTCTTGGGGAGGTTATTTAACCTCTCTGTGCCTTGGTTGCCCCACTGGCAGTGCAGGTAAACAATACCTCCCCATTTGGTACAGTGACTTATTGAGACTCTATGTCTGGCACACAGAAGGAGCTCCAAAAGTGTTTGCCAACTCTGAAGCTCCAGCAGCACAGGGCAGCAGAGGTATCACCGCCATCGCTCCCAGCAGAAGTGGGCTTTTCAGCGGGAGGGCTCCAAACCCAAATAATGAAAGAGAGGAGGTCTAAGTTAACTAGGAAGACTCAGGAAGCAGTGGTGTCAGAGGATGTGTGGTTGTGGTCCATCACTGAACCGGACAGCGCCCTTTCGGGGCCCTGCGAGTTCTGAGTCTGAAGCTCCAAAATTATCTCTTCTCTCTGCAGGTCTGCCAGGTGAACGGGGTACCCCAGGACTGCCTGGCCCCAAGGGCGATGACGGCAAGCTGGGGGCCACTGGCCCAATGGGCTTGCGTGGGTTCAAAGGTAAGAACAAAGCTCACTGCACCCATGGGCAGCGCATGGGAGCTGGGTGTGCCCACCTGGGGTCACATGTCTCTGCCACCCAGCAGAGTGACCTGAGGCCAGTGTCTTCATCCTCTTAAGCTTCAATTTTCCATCTAATACAAACAGTTCTCACACTGCCATGATCCATGGGTCTGTTGTGAGGAGTGAGCACCCATATATGAAAGTCTTTAAAGACTTTATGATGGGCTTTGATCCAGCGCTGTTACCACAGGAAGACGGCAAAGGGGCCACCCTGCCCGAGCCCTCTCCATCTGCAATACTCCATGTCCCCCAGTATGAGCACCTTCAATTCACTTCGCAGGCTTATATTACAACAGCGTTTCCTTTTTTTCCTCTTGTGATAGCACCTTGTTCTTCTCTAGGGGAACATACTTCAGTCAGTACCTGTTTTCCTGCTAGACCTCCTGTCATCACTGCACATGACAAGGTCATCCAGTGCTATTTCCCAAGCTTCCTACGCTTCTTTTATTACAACGAGAACTCAGAAAACACTACTGCCAATCACTGTCACCTTGTGTCTTTGTACAAAAATAAGGAGGAAGTCCATTCACTCTTCAGTCCCTTCAGCTCTTGCTCTTCGCAATAACCACTGTCAACTCTTTGGAGCACATCCTGCAGGACCTTTCTCTGAACACATTCATATGCCTATATGAGGATTTTTCATCAAACCTCGGATCATGCTAGGTATTTTCCTCTAGAAATTTCCGACTTGGTATTTTTCACCCATAATATGCTCCAGGATTTGGCTTTGCAGATGGTTTTTTGAAGATCCTTGGAGTAGAATTCCTAAGTGGTGGCAGGATTTTCTACTTCTTTGTAGAATGAGATGCCAGCAGGGAAACAAACTGTTCTAATCATGTCCTGGGAAGGAAATTCCATAATTCCCTGGAAACCCTCACTCATGTTTTATAGTTTGCCCCACCAGAAAATCTGCCTGGCATTTAACCTGTGTCTCTTCTTGTGTAACCGAAGCCCACCCCATTCCTCCCCTCTGTCCACAGGAACAAACCTGGATGTGAACTTCTAAAATGTTGACTATTTAATAGCAATATCCTTGTGTTGTCATCTTCCTGCTGAGTACTGTGTGCTTTTTAAGGTTACGTGACAGATGTTCTCTTCTGTGCTTTAGGAGGAGATGAGACTTTCTCAGCAGGGCCCTGCCTCTTTCCTGGGGTGACTGGAACAGGGTCACAATTGCCTCAGCTCTTCTCCTGCCTGCTGTGCCCTCTGACTGCTGCTGGTTCCTGCCTGAGGGGTTCTGTAGAGGGCTTGGGGTTAATAAGTCTGCAGATAAGGCTTAATTTACAATTAGAATTCAGTTCTACCTCTAATACCACTGTTTCTCCTGTGTTTTAGGTGACCGAGGCCCAAAAGGAGAGAAGGGCGAGCGAGGAGACAGAGCAGGGGACACGAGTAAGGAAGTTCTGTGGGGTCTCCGGGTGCTGTGTGGACATGGGTGGGCCAGTCACTCACGCAGCCAGGGACAGAACCAGACACAGGGCTCTCATGTCAAAGAGATGCCTTTCCTTTCTTAGAATTCTGCTGGTCCAGAGAACTCTGTTCACAGAACCCAGGGGCACAGGGGACTCATGTGGCATTAGCCTATGGTGTGTGGGTGGATCTGGAGGCTTCCTCCTGACTGCCCCACTGGCTGGCAATGTGTAATCTCCATGCCTCCATTTTCATCTGTAAAATGGGGCCAAGAAGAGTCCTTATCTCCTTGCAGCCTAGTGAGAATTAAGTGAGTTGGTCGGTGTAAAGTACTTAATACTGTGTCTGGACATGGGCTCGGACTCAGCAAACATTACTACTCCAGGTAGTGCGCCAACTCAGACACACTTCCTGCAGTCACCAGAGGTGGGGGCTACAATCCTGTTACTCACTTTGTTAAAATGCCTGCTTTCCCCTGAGAGGCAAGCATGTGGCCGAATGGAATCCCTTCCATTTCCTCCTTGCTGTCAGGATCGCTTCCTGGGGACCAGGCAGGCCACCCAGGGTGCGCTGGGCGCCCCTCTGCCGAGGTCCATGCTGAAAGGGGCATGATGGGTGCTGGCTTATCTAGTGCTTGCAGCTTTCCCAGGGCATGTTTTCCCCTGAGGGCTAAGTGTGGCATCTTGGAAAAGCTGCCAGGGAAGAGTGAATAATGTCTCGGAGCCAACTCTGAGGCAGAACACCCAGCACTCTCACTGTTGGCTCATAGCACGTGAGGACCTGTGTGATTAGCACCTCCTTGGGCTCTGTGTTCCAGCCTTGGCTTCAGGAGGCCTGGGCCTGGGGGGACGGTGCCTGTGTGACCCCTGCAGAGTCACAAGCTGGACCCCAGTAAGGGCTCCCTAAAGGGTGGGGTGCTGTACCTGTCTTTGGGTAGGTTAGCTGTTCCCGATAGGCCACTGCCAAGGTAGCTGAGGAGGATCGTGGCATTCAGCCCCGAGAAATAAACAACTCTGGATGGGCTGGGCAGGAAGGGCGGGACTATATAGAGAGATGACCTTTAGAGGGAGATCAGAGAGGCTGCCCACACACCAGAAGGGTCCTGTCAGGAACTCCTTGGCATTGCTTCTCTAAGCTGACCTGAGAGCAGGCCAGGACGCCCAGCCAGCCCGGGGACCGTGCCCATGGAGGATGCTCTGGTTGGAACTCACCTGGCTTCCGTCAGTGGGCACAGCTGACTGGGCTCTGAGGTCGGAGCCAGAGCCCAGTGGTGCACAGCTTCCTAGGCATGGGAGGGAGATCTGGACAAGGACACCGGATTACTTGGCTCTCCAGCTGCTGGCTGCACTGCCAGAGGCTGACATGAGCTCCCTCTCCAGGGACTGAGGCTCGCTCCTGACTTGAAGGGTCTGCATACACCCTGCCTGGAGCCCAGCGCTCAGGCAGGACCCCCCCCATTCCAACCCAGGGCTACACAAAGCTCTAAGCCGTGCCTTCCAGGATCTTAAAAGTGGTGGCCCCCTGGTCTATGGAAGTGGAGAGTGAGGGGCCTGGCAATGACAGCTCATTGACTGGAAGCTGTTTGGTGGGAGAGGAACCTGGAGCCTCCCTCAGAATCATGCATCAGTGAGCCTGCAGCTATCCTCATCTTCCCCACCACCCCGGCTCAGAGGGAAGCAGCCTTCTCTATGTCCTTAGTGTGGCAGAGGTGGAAGTGAACCCCAAGGTTCTGATTCCCTGATTCATTGCCCAGATGTTGGGCAGTGGGGTCTTGAAAAGTGGGACTGGGCGCCTTAAAACCTATGACTTCTTGAGCTGGGGATCCACAGGCACCACAGTTCAGGGATGAAGGCTGGGTCTGCCCCCTGTCGAGTCCCTTCCCACGGCTGCCACTCCCTAGCCTGCCTTGACCACACCGACCTCAGCTGTGTTCAGATGCCCAGAGTTCCCAAGGCTGTCCTGTCCCAGAGGTGATAACTATATCCCTGAGACCGGGTTGGGAGGAGAGGCCCAGAGCTCATGTTTCAGGAAAGTGCGGAAATGCTGACGAATATGGTGCCCACTTCTGGGGCTTTCTTAGTCACTCCCTGAGCCTCGGCAGCCCCACCGTGGGATCCTTAGAGTGGAAAGAAAAAGTTCTCAGCTCTCTGCTTCTGTGTGGGAGGGGCCGCTGACTGGGTTTGCTGTGGTCACCAGCCTTGGGCTGGACACGTCTAGTGCCCACCTGTGGCCCAAACCATAAAGTTCCAGCAGATGGGCCTGTTACCTGTGATAAAGTTGTTGATGACAAGAGCAAGACAGTCACTCCTCACATGGAAAAAAGTCAGGCAGTTTTCCTTTGTGGAGGACACGACAGAGAAATCCTCTTGGGACCTGTGTTTTGAGCTAATACTGCAATTTTTTCAGGACAAAAATCTTACCATTGTTTACCCATGTTTTGATCTGGAGTCATAGGATTTTGGGGTTTGGATGGGTTTCAGATCAATTCCTCTCCCTTTCCCAACCCCACCCACCCCACCAGCTCATGAAGCAGAGACCAAGAACAGAGAGGTGGAGGGATCCCAAACTCACCCCCACTTAGGTCCTGGCCAAACTGGGTCTAGCTTCCAGATCTTTGATGTTTGCTGGGTGAGCAGTGAAGCCACTCCCACAGGCCTGGGCAGTATCAGTCATTTCATTAGATGTTTGGCTTTTAGAAGTTTGTCCAGGAAAAAAAAATGTTTCATATCCACATCTCAAGAGGGAAGGACATTTATTTTACACTGATATATGGTCCATTTGCAGGAAAAATAAATAATATCTTGCAGCAAGAGGGTAGGTAAAGGATTCAGATTTGTTTAAATCCCATGACATGAATTTAAAGCAGGATATACATTCAGATTGTTTAAAAAACTAGCGTTAATTTGGTTTCATATAGAAAATACACACAGACAGTATAGGAGTGAAAGTTCAGAAAACTTGAAAATGTCTGGTACTTTGTGTGTATTAGGAAAGCTTAGGGGTAGGATCTTGGTGGGTACCCCAACATATAACATAAGTTTAAAATAAATAATCAAAGGGGGAGCACTAGAGGGTTTCCCCAGAGCTACTGAGATCTGTTTTAGAATGAAGAGAACTGAGAATTCTGAATTCTGAGAACTGAGATTTTTTGGCATCTGCAGACTCCTTTTCTCCCCTCCCTGCCCTGGGGGACTTATCTATAATAATACCATACCAAAAATGAGCCTTACCTCAGGCCTGGAGATACAGGCCTGGAGGTACAATATTGCTTTATTTAACCATGGGTGCAGCCTTAATTTCTCACATATCTTGGACACCCAAGCAATGATGCGCTCTAGCAATGAATCATACTTCTGAGAAGTTAATGATTCCCCTAACCCTTCATGCGCCTGGCATGGTGAAAAGCACGGCTCCCTTAGCTCTTGGCAACTTATCGTTTACATGGTCACATCCAAGGTAGGAGATGAGGAAGCTGGAGGTAGACAGGATGAGGGGCCTGCCAGTGGTCACCTGCGACCATACGAGACAGAACCAGGATGTATCAGGTCTGTCTGGCCTGGACTGCACACTGTTCAGCCTTCTGGCTTGGTCTCTGGTTTTTGGCTGGAGTTTCCATAGGCTGCTCTGTCTATCCGGAGAATTAGAATGAAGGTGGTAATTTCTTCCTTAGCTGTTCTCCACTGCCTTTAAGGTACTCTTCTCTGTGTCAAGGTTTGCTGCTCTTCACTGCCCCCTGCTGCTTCTGTAGCCCTGAGCCAGGCCCAGCAGATTTCTCAGCACTGCTCTGCACCCACTAGCAAAGCCGTCCAAGCCTGTGTGCCCTTCACACAAACCTGGGTGGGTCATGGGCTGAGCCCACAGAAACCAGGCTCCTGGGTGCATCAGACAGTGTTCGTGCTGTGTGCGTTGGCTCTGCTTGTGCATTTCTTCATTGTCACAGTCTCTAGCAATTTTTTGCCAGATGAAAATACGAAAGTATATGAGACATTATTGAAAAATATGTTGAATATGTAAATTTAAAAATTTTTATTACACTAAAAGACAAGCAGTTGCCATTAACCCCCCTCAAAATACTCCCTCTCACTTCGAACACACCTATCCCATTGTTCTTGCCATTTCTAAGTAGTTCTGCAAGCCCTCTTTCGAGAGTGTCTAGTTGTGCTGCCTCAGCTACTACAGCATTCTGTAATTTTTTTTTGGGGGGGGGCGGAACCGGGGATTGAACTCAGGCCCTTGCACTTGCCAGGCAAGTGCTTATTCTACTGAGCCATCTCCCCAGCCCTTACTACAGCGTTCTGACTTTATTCAAAATGTTTCCCTTCTGTGCTCATTTTGACTTAGGGGAAGGGACAGAAGTGGTAGTGTCAGATGCAGTGAGTAAGGTGGCCCAGGACTCAGTGTCGTGTTTTCGCCAGCTTGCCTTTCCTTTGGATGGTGCTTGGCAGAAGCTGTCTCCGAATTTTTTTAATCACATTTTGCAAAGATACTCATGAAAGAGAACTTCCGGAACTGCTCCAGAAAGTGGCATGAAGCTTGGGACAAGGGTGCTCAAAGCAAGAGGAAGTCTTTTGAGGAGGATTAATGGCAACTACATTATTGTAATAATTTTAAAAAAATTAACATTCACTGTACTTTTCAGTCACCCACCCATCGTATGTGGGAATAGAAAAGGGCTTCTCAGCTATTTCCTTGCCAAAGTTGATGTCTAGTGACTGAAGAAACACGAAGAGGCAAATTTCACTCTGGAAAATTGTCCTGAGGCAAAACCCACGTGGGATGGGAGAGAGCGGAGACAGAAAGCAGGAGCTTGGGACAGTGGCCAGTGAGATAATGCTGGGAGCACAGTGAAACTGAGCAAAGCAGGCTCTGGCGAGACAGAGATCAGAGCGCACAGGGGCTGTCAGAGCTGCGAGCGAGAGGCGGAGGCCACCGAGTCTGAGGGGGCCGTGCAGGAAGGAGAAACGGCCTCCCTTCCTTCTGAG